TTTAATTTGGACAGTGTACACCGGCCAAAATTTTGATGTACCAGTCGGGTTCGGCAGCCACCAAAAAAGGGGAGAAGACGAAGCAAATCAAAGCAAGGGGTGCAGCAGCCACCGTAAAAGGGGAGGATTTTTTTTTAAAAAAAAAATTTGGACACTATACATCGGCCGGAATTTTGATGTACTGGTACATCAAAATTTCGGCCGGTACATCGGATTTTGACCGAAATATCCAAATTTTGACTGAAACGAAATTGTATTTTGTATCATTTTGGTTAATGTAAAAAATCAGTACGTACCAGCCGGTACAACGAAATTGATAACACTGATCTAAATTCTTTTTGTTTTCTTTTCCATTTTTAAATATTTAAATGGTATTGTCTCTTCATCTATGAACCAGCCTTGAATATTACTACTTAACATGCTTTAAAAAAAAAAAAAGAAAAGAAAAATGGTCTTGCCTCTTCATCTACCAAAGGATGAACCCATCTTTTCAATATTTATAATTAATAATTAACATGCTATTTATCTAAATATCTTCAATTACTGACGAGAAACTAATTAGCCTTAATTTGTTATTTGTATTATATAATTACATAATAAATAATAAATAAATATATTTTATATTACATATATATATGTATACCATTTTGAATGCATACAGTAGCATTTTATATAAAATACTACATTCAAATTTTAAATAGGTACTAAAATTTACCCTTTTTTTTAATTATAGAAAAAAAAATTTAATGAGAAGAAGAAACCTTGTTAAAAATAAGAATATATTATTTTTACATTAAAATGTAATAAATGTATTTATTATTTTCATTTTTCATTTTCTATCTCTTCTTATCTTATCGTTATCTTTTCAATTATTTTATTGTTATTAATATGAATAAACCCTAGTTTTATAGAGGATAAAAATAAAGAATTACAATGTATATTAATTATTAAATACATGTTAAAAGCTAAATAACACTTTATCTTCCACTTCCACATTAATCTAAAATTAATAATTGTTTATTATATAATTTTAATGGCATAGTAAATGTATTATAAAAAATAATTAATATAACTTAAAACTAAAATAATGTAAAGGGACTACAACATTCTTAATATAAATGACATTAATATATATTATAAAAAGAAAGAAGATAAAATGATATATAAAAAAATTGATTAAAATTATTAGTTCTATAACTAAAAATAATGGCAAAAGAGTCTAGCAAATTAAAATAGATATTTAGTTAAAGGAAAAAATAAATTTGGTTGATAAAAATAAAATGTGAAAAATAATTGATTTATTAAAAAAATATATTAAATGTATTTTTAATGAATTTATCATGTAATTTCTCTATGCCAAAATAACTATAGTTTTTTTTATTTTTTCTCCGAATTAAGTATTTAAAGACAATTTTTATATTTATCTACAGTATTATTAAGAAAAATAGAAGATAAGAAAAGAGTTTTTTATTGAATGATTAATTAAAATAAATTAATAATGATAAGGATATAGAAAAAAATATTTACCTTAAAAAATAAAAAAAAATAATTTAATATAGGTTTAAAATAATTTTTATTAATAATTTATTAATAATTAAATCAATTAAAATTTTTTATTAAAAAATATTATAAAATTAAATAAATAATATAAATAATATAAAAATAATCCCGTGCAGCACATGGGTTAAAGAA